TAAAGGATCAAGTCTACCGAAGGGTGTATGGGCTTGTGTTGTAGATCTGCATCTTGTGGGTGAACAGGGAGGATCTGTGGCTGGCGTATGAACTCCTAGCAAGTTGATGGTGGAAGTGAGTTTCCAACCAGGAACTTCCCAATTCGTAGCTCAGAATTTGACTCACTGTGCAGCGCCAGCACTGAGAAGATTTGGATCCAGAGCAGTTTTATCTGATTTCCTACGAGCAGCCACAAAGGGCGATAGGTTCCACACTGGATCATGTTCTGATGGAGGGCTGCAGGATCACACCTCTTGCAGAGTCGGGACATCCCTGTGCCCATGCCATCTTCCTAGGGTTGCCAGTCTCCAGGTGGTGAAAATCCAAACACAACATCCGTGGCAGAAATAACGAGGAGTCAATAAAGATATGCTTGCAAAATCATTTACTGTAGTAATTCTGTAGAAAATTATCTTCTATTATCACTCACACGCAACGAATGCTGCGCAATGTAAACAATCCGTTTCACAATAATTGCTTTATCTGAGCGTGTAGCAATCACAATTCTTATCGATTCCTACTTGTGAATTCTGATATTAGAGAATCAACACGGAATGTTTCCTTCTAGAGTTGATAAGTAGGAATTGATAAGAGTTGTGATTGCTACACGCTCAGATAAAGCAATCATTGTGAAACGAATTGTTTTCATTGTGCAGTATTTGTTAGCGTGTGAGCGTATTATAGAAGAGAATTTTCTACAGAATTACTACAGTAAATGTTTTTGCGAGCATATATTTATTGACTCTTCATTATTTTTGTCACAGACGTTGTGTTTGAATTTCCACTTCCTCCCATGACCTCTCATTTTTCGTCTCCAGGTGGTGGCTGGAGATCTCCCAGAATTCCAACTGATCTCCAAATTTACACAGATCAGTTCCCCCAGAGAAAATGGCTGCTTCGGAAGGTGGACTCTATGGCATTATAACCTGCTGAGGTGCCTCCCATACCAAAACTCCCCAAAACCTCTAGATATTCCCCAGCCCAGAACTGGCAACCCTACAGAAGAATCGTTATCGAGTTAATGGTAATATGGAAGGACAGCATTATTTCTTTTAGGGGACAATATGTAAGCAAAGGGGCAGTTCCCCCTCCCTACTCCTGCAGATTCTCCTCACAGCCTTCTCCTCACCGCAATAATAGGGCTTATTTCTGACTCGGGCCGTCCAAGGAAAAACCAGGGGGGAGAATTAGTGCTTGAGAAACAAGAAGACTTGTAAATTCTCACTTGAACTTGTCCCCCTCTGCCTCACATTATGTAGCAAAGACAAACTGGGAGCCCCATCTTTTCCCCTGGAATATGCAGCGCCCCCCTTGGAGGAAGGGATTAAAAATGAACATTCCCCACCGAAAGAAATGCAGCTGCTGACACGGAAGCCGGCACTCCCTCTCGATCTGAAAGGCATACCAGAGAAATACAAAGCTCGCCTCAATTATTTATGATGCAGCGATGCTTCCCTCGCGCGTTAGGAGTAAAACATTATGCGGATTATACGTGACGGTTAAAACGAAAAGTCGTAGTATATTTCCTCGGATATTTCTGAAGAGGCTGCTGGGAAAAAATGGGTAAGGACAACAGTCCACCCACCTGCTTCTGCCCCCAACCACCCCCCAGTATACAGAATAAAGTGCTTCATTGCAATTTTTGTTCACGCTTAAAAGAAAGTCACCGATACTCGCTTTTCTTTTCCTTCTCCGCAGAGGTGGGTCATAGATGCCAAACGCCAGAGAAGTGACACACGGCCCACTGTCGAGCATTAAGAAAATTCATTTGAGGCATGTGAAGAGCTGCGTACCTCCCCCTCTCCTTTTTCTTCTTCCAAATCATTACATGCTACTGAAATGTTGGGGCAGGATGAACACCACCCCTCCTCCCCAGCTTTAACGACCTCGGCGTAGTCTCTTGGAAGAGTTTGTCAGGTACAGTCCTACAGAAAAGTCTCCAATCCAGAGGGCTGAACCCCTCAACGCTTCCTCCCAAAGAGTTCGGACTGCGGCTTGTGTCTCGGCCTCCTGATTATTGCACTATCTTGACTTTTCTGTTTGTCTGAGCCACAACCTCATCGCACCTTTCGCGTTTGTTCACAAGTTATGGCTGTTGTTCCAGGGGCCAGCCCTGCATTAGTACAGATTCACACACACACACACAAACCCCCCCATACATAGAGAGGCAATTCTTAACTGGAAAAATTTCTTCGGGTTTTGGACTTGAGGGAAGGCCGGAACGAGGAACCCCAGAATAAGACATCCGACACAACTCTGACGTTGACCGTGGACTTCTTTGTGCAAACAGGTTCAGGAAGGTAACAGGGGCAAAGCCATCAGTGCTCTTCCAGGGCCGAAGCTTCATCCATTTCAGGGGGCGACCTGTGCAGGGGAGGTGTTTTTGCAACGAATGTAACTTGCGTGGCAGCGGCGGAACACTGAGAGACTGACATTGCACCCAGAAGTTTCTTTAACCGTCAACAGACTTGCAATTAGCCTATCCAGGAAGAGTTATCACGATGGATTAATAAAGTGCAAAAAAGTTAAAATAATAAATTCTTAATATCACCCCCCCCAAAAAAGGCCGGACTTCCTTCCCAAGCTCCGCCGCTTCTGCCGGAAGAGAACTTGGGTGAGTTCATTTGTGTATGAGTTTGCTTTGTTGTGCGGTGTCCCGCTGAAGAACAATGTCTCCATACGGGGACCCAAGAAGGATGTAGACCAAGTCCAGATAGTGAATGCACTCAATGCTCTAGAGACCCACCCAGAAAGTATGTGACTGGAATCAACACAGAACTGGGGAAACGAGACCCGGGTTCTATATACATGTGAATGAGAAGGGGACTAGGGGACCGAGAGGAAGCCAAAAGTGCTTCGCTGGTACCATTTCCTGGATCAACCAGTTTTATCCTCACCTCTCCCACTACGCAAGAAGGAAGGGGCTGCTCATAATGCAGGGAGAGAGCAGCAAGAAGTCTCACCAAGTGACTGATGACATCGAGATAGGGAAAGTGAGGAGATAAGAAGCTCTGGTGGAGAACCCATGCATTCAACATTCCACCAATCTTGGCTTCGCCATAAGAACATAAGAGACCCCGATGTTGGATCAAGCCAAGGGCCCATCTAGTCCAACACTCTGTCACACAGTGGCCCAAAAATACCAGGGCCCATCAGGAGGTCCACCAGTGGGGCCAGGACATTAGAAGCCCTCTCACTGTTGACCCCCCCAAGCACCAAGAAGACAGAGCATCACTTGCCCTAGAGTCCCTATCTATACCTTGTGGCTAATAGCCACTGATGGACCTCTGCTCCATATGCTTATCTACTTCCCTCTTGAAGTCGTCCATGCTTGTAGCCGCCACCACCTCCTGTGGCAGTGAATTCCATGTGTCAATCACTCTTTCAGTGAAGTACTTCCTTTTATCCGTTCTAACCCGACCGCTCAGCGATTTCATGGAGTGCCCGCAAGGAGTTCTTGTATCGTGAGAAAGGGAGAAAAGTGCCTCTTTCTCTACCTGCCCCATTGTACCTCTTTCTCGCCATCCCCATTGTCATACCCTGCTTCGTGGGAATAGACCAGCGGGTCAACCCATTTCCACCCAAGGATTCAGAGTTTTAACAAAGAGATTGACCGAATTGACGCAATCTTCCTGCGACGCATTCTTGGACTACCTAACTCTGCTACCTATTATTCTCTCTGTGCTGAGCTGGGTCTCCATCTGTTAGACTCGCGGGCATGGATGAAAGATGAAATATTGGCTCCACATCCATCTTAGTGCCCCCAGCATAGCCTTATTGCACTCCTGACTATGGACCCCTATGTATCCAAGTGGTCACAGGCGATAACGTCTAAAATACGCTCAATTGGCATCGACCTGGACAGCATGGAAAATCAAGATGAGACCTTTATATACCGGACGATTCGTAAAAGAATTTGGGACATCGAAGCCCAAACAATCCAGGCTGGTGCCAGGGGCACTTGTCCCCCCGTTTCCCTTGGCCTCAGATATGCACCAAATAGTCTGGCCCGATACTTCTCTAATCTGGTAATCCCGCTGCAATGGAGAGCCTGTATGCTGGCCAGATTCAATGTTTTCCCCTCATCCTGGGTCTCAGGTAGATATAGAGGCATTTCAAAATGTGACAGAATCTGCAAATGCTCACTTAGAGAACCCGATACCTTAGATCACTGGTGGCGAACCTATGGCACGGGTGCCAGAGGTGGCACTCGGAGCCCTCTCTGTGGGCACGCGTGCCATCGCCCCAGCCCGGCCCAGACCATCATTAAAGTGTCGAATTCTCTGCCAAATAATTTCAAGTAGATGAAAGCATTTGGGATTGCTTTCCTTACTTTGTTTGGATCTTCTTAAGTTAACGTATGAGTTGTTTTTTTCTAAAGTACGTATGAGTTGTTTTTTCTAAAGTAAAACCTCAGTATTCAGGTTAAATTGCCGTGTTGGCACTTTGCGATGAATAAGTGGGTTTTGGGTCACAGTTTGGGCACTCGGTCTCTGAAAGGTTCGCCATCACTGCCTTAGATCATATTCTGCTACGCGGCCCCTTCCATTCACATCTCCGACTATCTTCGATTAAGCCCTTACGGTCTAGGATCAATTCTGATACTCGTCCCGTGGTTGGGGGGAGGTGCCGATCATACCTCACTCCTGTGGCGCGGCAAAGAAGCGGCGCTGCGGGGGTTGTGTTGGTTTTTTTTAACCCAAATGTTCACATGCGCCTTTGGGTGCTTCTGCGCACCCGTGGAGATTTGACAAAAAAAAAACCCTTTTCGCGACGGGACATGGGCGGGCGCCGGATGCCACGAGCTAACATCGGAAACGTGATCTGACGCCTGCCCTTGCCCCGCGGTTTCCGGAAACTAGTACCTCGGAGGTACTAGTTTTTTTACAGCACATCTTCGGAGTGAAGCCTCGGGTGAGCCACGGGAGCTCTACGCTTCGCAGATGTGGCGGTGAGATTGTGCCCGGAAAATCTTCCATCTCTCTAGCGTGCCTAATACTCCGTGTGACCGGGGCCTTAATATTGGTGTGCTCTAAGATTTACAGATGCAATTTTAGCTTGATGAAGTTCTTCTCTTACTGATTTTATATGCCAATAAAGGTTTCGTATTGTATTGTGTGAGAGGGCCGTGTTTGCTCCTTCCGAACTGTTGGCCCAGGTTCCAAAGGAGAGACGCGAGCCCATTCCCCACTATACCACAGGTGAGGAGTTGGTAGAAGGAGGGGAGGATTACTGTTTGCATCATAACCATTGGCAAAATCCACCCCGGAGCATCCCTAGACCTCCAGAGCAAGTGGCGTTTGGTCTACACCCTTCCACATGCAAGGAAAACAGAAGATCTCTTTCCAATGATATGCAAAATGGGAAGCAAAGATGGCTTACTGGCTCAGGCCAAGAACCCCAATCCCTTCAACACTGTAGACTAAAGGCAAAGCCTGTTGACCCCCCCAAACCCAACTCAACCTTCTCCGCAACCCTCCACGATGTTCGTGACCGAGACATCTGGCCGTCTCCTGAACCGCAGAACAGTTGATGCGTGAGCCCGACGAGAAGGGGAGACTCCTAGTGATTCAAGTTCACTCTGCTTGCTGGGAAGAGAGGAGGCGGTGGCGGTAAATGAGGAGGCGGGGGGAGGCTCTGGGCATGCATGAGCGGCAAAGGGAGCGCATGGGCGTGTGCCGTGGGGTGAAGCGGGCCGCTGGGGGCCAGGTGAGCCGGGTTGGCACTCTGGGGAGCAGGGAAGCCGATGGAGTTCGGGTCGCTGTTGTTGACGGGATCCGAGGCCACGGAGTTGCTGACCCGGAAACACTTCTCCTTGTGGGCCTTGAGCATGTTGGAGAACCGGAAGCGCTGGCCGCAAACGTCACAAGGGTAGGGCTTCTCTCCCGTGTGCGTCCGGCGGTGCCGCTTCATGTTCGGGCGGCTGGTGAAGCTCTTCCCGCAGATCTCACAGATGTAGGGCTTTTCACCTGGCAGGGAAGTCGCAAGATGGGTTAGACTAGAGCAGGGGTGGACAAACTGTGGCTCTTTCACACATATTGTGTGGCTCCTCCCGGCAGGGCGGCTGGGGAAGCAAAGGGGAGGCATGCCTCCCTGATCGGTCTTCCCTTCCCCAACCAGTGTTCTTTTCACCTTTCTTTTTCTCCCTTCCTTCCTTTCCTTTCCTTCCTCCCTCCCTTCCTTCCCTTCCTTTCCTCCCTCCCTCCCTTCCTTTCCCTCCATCCTTCCTTCCCTCCCTTCCTTCCTTCCTTCCCTCCCTTCCTTCCCTTCCTTCCTTCCTTCCTTTCCTCCCTCCCTCTTCCTTCCTTCCTTCCTTCCTTCCTTCCTTCCTTCCTTCCTTCCTTCCTTCCTTCCTCTTTTCCTTCCTTCCCCTCCCTCTCTTCCCCATCTATTTGCTTTCTTTGTTTCGCTCTCTTTCTCTCTTTCTACCTCTTTCATTCTTTCTTTCCACCACTCTCTCTCTTTCTCTCTCTCTTAGACAAACAAACATCAGTTTGGTGTAGTGGTTAAGTGTGCGGACTCTAATCTGGGAGAACCGGGTTTGATTTCCCCACTCCTCCACTTGCACCTGCTGGATGACCTTGGGTCAGTCACAAGCTCTGGCACAGCTGTCCTTGAAAAAGAGCAGTTTGTGTCAGAGTTCTCTCAGCCCCACCCACCTCACAGGGTGTCTGTTGTGGGGAGGGGAAGGGAGAGGAGTTTGTAAGCCGCTCTGAGACTCCAAGTGAAGGGCGGGGTATAAATCCAATCTCCTCTTCTTCTTCATCATCATTAGCAAACAAATAAATATCATTGGACAAATAAATATCACTATCTGTTTCTACCCCTTTTGTTTTTATTTTTGGCAGTCTCGTTTGATGTTAATAAAATGCAGCTCTCAGACATCTAACATTTATTCTATTTGGCTCTTACATTGAACAAGTTTGGCCACCCCTGGACTAGAGGGACAGATGCAGCGCCTGGCGTGCTCTTTCCAAGGCTATACAGACTCTGCATTAAATGAAAGCTATTTGTAGCATAGATACAATTATATATGGAAGCCGCATCCCGCAGAGAACGGCAACATTAGAGCACGAGAGGACACATTTTGTCACCTGCGGAGGGATTCATCATAGAATCATAGAATGTTAGAGTTGGAAGGGTCCTTGCAGGTCATCTAGTCCAACCCCCTGCACTCTGCAGGAGCAGAGCTGAAAGAGAGCCCTACATACCTACAACGTAGTTGTAGAGGGAGTTTTGCTCGTTCCCATCTTCATGATGTAAAGGGAATGTAACAAAAACAATTAAAAGCCATCATGTCAAACGACTCATGGTGACCCCCTATAAGGTTTCAAGGCGAGAGAGGAACAGAGGTGGTTTGTGTAGCTACCTTGGTGTTCCTTGGTGGTCTCCCATCCAAATATTAACCAAGGATGGACTAATCTGGGAGAACCGGGTTTGATTCCCCACTCCTCCACTTGCACCTGCTGGATGACCTTGGGCCAGCCCTTGTTCTGTCAGAGCTGTTCTTGAAACAGAGCCGTTTCTGTCAGAGCTCTTTCAGCCCCAACTCCCTCCCAGGGTGTCTGTTGTGGGGAGGGGAAGGGAAAGGAGTTTGTAAGCCACTCTGAGACTCCTCTGGGTAGTGAAGGGTGGGGTATAAATCCAATCTCTTCTTCTTCTCTTCTTAGCTTCCGAGATCTGATGAAATCAAGCTTGCCTGGGCCGTCCAGGTCAAGGCATAGACAATCGGAGGGGGGTTTGCCATTGCCCGCCTCTGCATAGCAACCTTGGACTTCCTCGGTGGTCTCCCGTTCAAGTATCAATGAGAGCTGACCCTGTTTCGCTTCAGAGCTCTGACGTGATCAGGCTAGTCAGGGCTATAAAAAGGTAAAAGGTAAAGGTTCCCTTGCTCGAAAGCCAGTCGAGTCCGACTCTAGGGTTGCGGTGCTCATCTCCGTTTCAAAGCCGAAGAGCCAGCGCTGTCTGAAGATGTTTCCATGGTCATGTGGCCGGCATGACTAAACACCAAGGCGCACAGAACGCTGTTCCCTTCCCACCGAAGTGGTACCTATTTATCTATTTGCAATTTCGTGCTTTCAAACTGCTAGGTTGGCAGGAGCTGGAACTAGAGACAGGAGCTCACCCCGTCTTCTCACTCCGTCATGCGGGACACTCGGGTCTCGAACTGCTGAACTACTGACCTTCCACAGCCTGCAGTTCAGCGTCTTAACCCCTTGAGCCACCGCAGCTCCACATCAGGCTGCTAATTAATAATTATCGTATCGCATTGTGTGTAGTAAGTCTAGCTCACCAGCGAGTGGTGCATGATGCTAACAGGGTAGCCATGTTCGTCTGCGGTAGAACAGAATAGATCCAAGCCCCTTAGAGACCACCAGGATTTTTGGAGTACGAGCTTTCAAGCATCAAAGCTCCGGGAAGCCTCAATTTGTCTCAGAGCCGTGCAGGGAAAAGGGTTTAACCCTTCAACCTCCACTCCACTGGTATCTGACGAAGGGAGCGTTGGCTCTCAAAACCTCCTGCCCCGAAAATCTCGTTGGTCTCCAAGGTGCTATGGGACTCGAATCAAGCTCTTCTACAGCAGGCCAACACGGCTCACTGCCAGAAACGCAAATAAGTTAATAAGACTGTTTCATGGATAGGAGGGGGAGGCAGAATCTCGCAGAGGGCCCTCACCTGTATGGGTTTTCATGTGCTCATCGAAATACTGCTTCATGTTGAAGTCCTTCCCGCACCACTGGCACATGAACTGCTTGTGGCCGATGTGGATGCTCATGTGGGATCGGAGCTGGTACTTGTACTGGAAGCACTCGTTGCAGTTCTGGGAAGAGAAAGGGGCGGAGCCCCGATGCCATCACCAAATGCAACAAAAACAGGTAGAGCCAAAGTGCATCTTGATCGACATTCCGCGGCCAACAGCCACAGCCTGCCGAGGGCTAACGCCGCCACCACCACCCTGGACCACGATACCCTCTCACTCCCACCCTGCTCGGGCTTAAACTCAAGACGACCCAAAAACAAATCATGTGGTTTGCTTGGCCTTCAGGGACCCCACAAGGACCAGGACTCCTGAAACAGTGTCCCTCTTGGCAGCTCAGCCAAGAATCATAGAATCACAGAATCACAGAGCTGGAAGGGGCCCCACAGGCCACCCAGTCCAACCCCCTGCTCAATGCAGGATTAGCCTAGAGCATCCCTGACAAGGGCTTGTCCAGCCGCTGCTTAAAAACTGCGAGCGAGGGGGA